AGCAAACCCAAAGCCGAGGAAACAACAAGAATAAAAAACCTGCTCCCAAAAATTCTTGGATTCTTCCTCTTCTTCTAATAATTACTTTGGTTGTCCTAATTAGTTTAGTAATAATTATAAAACTTCGTTATAAGAGAAAAAAAATAAAATAATGTGTTAGAATTATCAAAATTTTTCACTGATTTCGAAGGATTAGTTCAGCGTTTAGAGCCACGAAAAATAAGCCGAGAACATTTATTAACCATCCAAGAAAAATTAATTAGGCAAAAAGAATTAATTAAAATAATTAACGAACTACGGCAAAAAAGAAATCAATTAAGCCAAGCAGGCAAAAAAAGTGCCGAAAAAGTTAGAGAAATCAAGGAGGGAATTGCCTGATCCGAAAAAGAATTAAAAGAGTTGGAAGTAAAATTGAATGAATTAACCAGCCAACTACCTAACCTTCCCGCTCTTGATACTCCGACCAATGAGGAGGGTAATAAAATTATTGATAATACCGAATATCAACACAATATCCAGCACAATTTAACCCATGAGACAATATTAAAAAAATTGAGGTTAATTGACGAAGAAAAAAGCATTCTTCTTTCCGGTAGCAAGTTTACTGTTTACCAAGGATTAGGGAGTCAATTATTACATGCTCTGATTAATTTCATGAGGTCGGAGAATAGCAGACGTGGTTATCGTTTATTTGATACCCCTTATTTAGTAAACGCCCATAATCTCTATAATACCGGACAATTTCACAAATTTCAGGATAATCTTTATAAGTTAGAAGAGAGTAATTTTTATCTGCTTCCCACGGCCGAAGTAAGTTTAATTAATCTTTATCAAAACCAGATATTAATCGAGGAGGATTTGCCTTTAAATTTATGTGCGTATAGTCCCTGTTTTCGGGCCGAAAGAATGGCCGCCGGGCAGGAAAATAAAGGGTTAATTCGGCTCCACCAATTTCATAAAGTCGAGTTAGTGAAAATAGTTAAACCGGAAAATTCTTATCAGGAATTAGAAAAATTGCTGGCTGATGCCCGCAATATTCTCCACTTGCTAAAAATTCCTCACCGGGTAATTGAACTTTGCCACGAGGAATTGGGATTTACGGCCGCTAAAACTTATGATATTGAAGTTTGATTGCCAGTCAGTAAAAAATGGTTAGAAATCTCCTCGTGTAGTAATTGTGAAGATTTTCAAAGTCGGCGGGCTCAAATCAGGGTAAAAAACCA